CCCACTGCGCCTGGCAATTTTTTTATTTTTAAAAAGAAAGTCACCACACACCTGTAGTCCAGCATTTGGGAGGCAGAGGCAGGCAGATCTCTGTGAGTTCAAGGCCAGCCTGGTCTACATAGTGAGTTCCAGGACAGCTGGAGCTACAGGAAGACCCTGCTTCAAAAAAAAAAAGAAAGTCACCACCCCCAGCCACTTGAGTGAGGAGCCTACCAAGAAATACACCAATGCCTCAAGAGAATGAGCAGCAACAGGCCAGGCATTCTAGAAGTCAAGGGCCAGGGTGTTCTTTCTGATAGAATGCCTTCAGAATATACACCCCTTTGACTCTAGGTACCTGGAACAACACCCTGAGAACCACAAAGGGAATGTCATATGACTGATCAACCCACCAGCCTCTGAAAACCTGTATTCACAGATCCCCTATGCCACTTGCTTTTTCCCCTGCCCTCCACCCACACACTATGTGGCTTCCAAGGGACAGAGGAGCAGAAAGGGGTCCAGCACCATGTCAGTTATAGTGAAACAATGGAGAAATCATAGACCTTTTAACCTCAGGGTTTGCTTTTGTAAGGAATGACCTGGTAGGAGCTTTAGAAAATTCCAGAGGAACAGCAAATATCCCTTCATATCTAGTGGAGGGAACACTCCATCCACCCTGCCTTTACCAAGACCTTCTACCACCCCCATTTTTACCCAAGGAAGCATTTCCTCATCCACCCCCAGCTGGGTTTTCTGTGGATGTCTTTGTCTCAGTCACTGGTCAGAGAGCCTGCCTGTTTATTCTCCAGCCAGTGGTGTTGCTCAGTCGTCCCCATGGCAACAGCCCTGGGAGTCCTGCCCCCTCCTAGGGAATGGCCCAGAACCTGTCCCTGTCCTCTCCAGGCCTCTGCTGGAAGCCCAGATCTAGAGAGGCAAAGAGCAGGGCCGGGAGGGAGACTCCTGCTGTGGTCTGAGGATGCTGGGGCTGCCCAGGTACCGCCTACTACCACACGTCATCCTGGGTTCAGTGGTGAACTGGAGGCCTGCCTTGGTTTGCAGCAAGGCAAAGCCCCACCTATGGCCAAGTAAAGGGGCTCCTCACCCAGGCTTCTGTGAAGTGGGCCTCCTGGGCATAGTTTGGCCAGGTCTAGAGCCAACTGGACATGCCCTCCTGGCCCAGGTCTCTGCAAGACTGCCCTCCAGTGCTGCTCCAGGGCCAGGGGCTATCTGCCAACTCCATGGCTGCCCCACCCCAACTGTCCTCTGGGCTTGTGCCCCTGCCAAGCCCCAACTGGCACTCCAGCTGCCACTGCCAACTGTCGCCCCGTCTCCATTCCAAGCACTCCCTCACCCCCAACCATCCTTCCAAAGTGCCACAGCCAACTGGCCACAGCCCCTGCTCCCCAAGCCTTGCCTCCCACCTACCTACTAGCCACTTCTCCAACAAGACCTAGCAAAGCCATACCTGCTGTTTGCCTGGCTGAGGTGGGGTTAGGGGAAGGAGAGGTACAGAGATTCGGGAACTGGGGACCAGATTTCAAGGCCAAGGGGGAAAGGCAAGGAGAGAATAGAACAGAAGCAGAAGATAGGGCAGCCTGACCTCAGTGCTAGGCCTAGCACAGGAGCAGGAAGTAGCATAGTCC